GGACAAGGAGGAGGAGGAGGAGGAGAAAGAGGAGGAGGAGGAAATGGGGGAGGACGGGAAGGAGGACGAGCACGAGGAGGAGGAGGAGGAGGAGGAAGAGGAGGAAGAGGAGGAGGATGAGGACAAGGGGGAGGAGGAGGAGGAGGAGGAGGAGGAGGAGGAAGAGGAGGAGGTGGAGGAAGAGGAGGAGAAGGAGGAGGAGGAGGAGGAGGAGAAGGAGCAGGAGGAAGGGCAGGAAGGAGGAGGAGGAGCAGAAGGATGACCAGGAGGAGGAGGACCAATCGGAAGAGGACGGGGAGTAGGAGGAGGAGGAGGAAGAGGAGGAGCAGAAGGAGGAGGAGTTCTGGAGCTCTGGGTGTGGCGACTAGGTTGGGGAAGCAAAGCTTGGACGCTCGATTTCTGCTGCTTGGTTAGCTCAGCTTTGCTGGAGGCTTTAGGCCAAAGACCACTGGCAATACGAGCTAGGTAATCAGTCCGATTACCCTCCTCCCTACTGACACACGGCTTGGCTAGTTCCTTGAGCAGCTGAGCTGCATGGAACCCGCACGCTAGACAGACCCATGTCCCCAGTCCCGCGCGTTATCCGAAGTTATGGCTTGAATCGGGACACCCCCCGCAATATGCACCCGCCGCCCAGGGGGGGGGTCAAACAAACTACCGTCCACATTATTTAGCTCAGAACACGAGGAGGTGAGCCAATCCTTGCGCTTAGCATTGGAAGTACCCTTGCACCTACTGCACTTGCTGTCATTGGACTCACATAACACATGCTGAAAACAGAAAACGCACAAACTGAGGGGGCGGGAGGTCCAGGTTGGGCCTGGCGGGCGGCTTTCCTACCAAGACTCTTATCATGCTCTTGCTCTGCAGCCAAAACCTCAATCGTGCTCTGGGGAACCCTCATCCGAACAAGGAACGCATTGTGTTCATTGGCGAGAACTCTCGCGCGGCTATTTTCTGACACTCTCGACTCGTCAGCTTCGCGCGCGGCGAACTCGTCAGCCATGGCATTGCCCGACAACAGCAACCTTGGCGCCTTGCCCTGTAGCGCGCGCGCGGCCTCGAGGTGCGAGTGGACGAACAGCGTCGTGCACTGCATATCTGGATAGTCATTCAGACGCGCAGCAATCTGCCACCGCAGGTCACTCTCTGGCCCCGCTGGCTCATTATAGCGCTGACTGTACCAGCCAATGGTGATGCTCTCGCTGTCCGTGGTGCATATCGCGCAGCCTCTGCTGCCGCGCAACGCCAGAAAGAAAGCCGGCAAATCCCCCCTGGCCGCCGTCTGGCGCGGCCCAGGTAGGCCCCCCCCGACGCCGAGGGACAGCTCCATGTCGCCGTCGAGGTTGCTGAAGCAGGCCAGGCCGCATCCCGCCCTTCTCAGGGTGGGGTTCTTGCTCGCTGGGCCGCCGCTGGCGCCCCCAAATGTGCATGCGGGATGCTCCTGCGTACCTTCCCCAACGCATCCGCCGACGAAATCCCCCCGATTCGTGCGCCGGGGCTCGGTGCTCTGAGGCGCCCCCACTGCGACCCATGATGCTGGGGCGCGCCCTCTCGCCCAGAAACAGGTGCCCACCTCTCCCTGCGCTCGCGCAACGAACTTCTCCGTCAAATCATACGCACCATGCCGAACATGACCTTCGCACGCCCACGCGCGGTGGAAGGCGGTCTCTCGATGTCCCCGACAACGCAAGCATTCCTGTGGCAACTCCTGTCTGGAACGCTCCTGCCGTCGTGCACGTGGCCATGTGGCTCTGACAGCGATCGGCGACATAATACCTGCGAGTCTGCGACCTCCTGGACCTCCCTCCAACTGTTGGAGCAACTGGCGGCACGACTGATTGCGCGCTCCTGCTTCCAGTCCTGGCCCTTCGCAGCGTAGAGGCGCGCGCTGCCACGGACTGGCTCTCGCGGTCTGCTCGTGCTCGTCAAAGAAGGCGCCGGGCAGGTCGATGCTCTCGTTGCCCGCGAGGTTGTCGGTGGAAAATTGCCAGGCGCGCTCGGCCCCGCCACCATTGCATGGCGCGACCCAGCTTGTCGGTGAATATGGTCGCCAACCCGCCTGCAATAAATAACTGATCGCGGCTCCCTGAGGCCTTCGAACGCGTCGAGCCATCTGAGCTTGTGGAAGAGATGCACATTCTCGAACAAGGCCTGGCCACGTTCGAGGTATGCCATCCCGAACGCTCGATTGACGGACCCAACAGAACAACCGCACTCGTAAGGATTCTCTCGGCATCTTGCAGGCTGGGTCTCTACCTGCGGCTTTGAGGTCTATGAGTGCGGCCAGGCCCCTTGCCCCGCCATCCGAGGACCGCGTGCGTTTCCCAATTTTCCTCGATGCTGTGCCATGGCGTCTCCGAAAACACCGTGCAGCCGGTGCCCATATGCTCCTGCCGATTGTGCTCTCTGCTGCTCCAGCCTCGACGCGAGGCCGCGTCGCCGCGTCGCACGAGCATATTTGGTCACGCGCTTGCGCACGGCCATGAGAATGGCCTGCCGCGCTGACCGACACGCCCGCGCAGGTGGAGAGCCACCTCCAAGATCTGCTCCCAGGCTTGGCGCCCGCGGCATCGCTCGCACCAAAAACCCTTGAGCTCGCACTCGCTGTGCAATGCATTTGGCGTCATCCAGCTTCGCGCATGCAACCGCGCTTTTGGGTGCGTCGTCTCGCTGGTACTCTTGATTGACTGACCGGGGCCGTCGATCCATATTCTCCGCGACGTGCCCACGAGCACCGTCGCCAGCTTCTGCGCGATGTGATACGTGGCGCACTTGGCAAACCTGGTGCCTCCGCGGAGGCCTTGCACCACATGCCGAAGCGGTGCAAATGGGCCCGAGCACGTGCCCGACCGCCTCGAGCACCTCGCCGCCATGCACTGCATCAGCTCCAACCCAAGGACGTCTGCAGGGAAATCGAGCCGCACTGCAGCTCTGCCGACCATCTGCCACCCGATGGAGTCGTAGAACTGGCCTGTATCGAGCAGGCCGCTGCCGTGATTTATCTGGGGCCTCGCCGCCATGTCCTCGTCTATCACGAAGAAACACCGCTCCAATTGCTGCGCGGCCCTTGATTGCCGCATCCCGCTGAGCTTCGCGCTCTGAGGGCCACTGCTTCACGCGCGATTCTCTTGCTTGCGACCGCACTCCGAAAAGGCGCGGCAGAAGCCCAACGATGCGATCTCCTGAAATTTTCCCTGGAAGAAGCGCACCAATCGTGAGAAGAACTCTGTCTGGCCACGACTGGGTGGCCTCGCATACTCCTAGCAAAATCGCCAACTCCTGGAGCGCACACTCAGGGAGGCGCAATATCGTGGGAACTCAATCGATCCACCCCCATGGCCGCCGCCACCATGATCCTCTTCAAGGCGCCTCGCACGTCCCCCGCCGCGATCGGCGCAAGGGGCTCGTGGTGAACTCTCTCGCGAATGTCGCGCAATGATCTCTCAAGATCTGCGTGTTCGACATGCCCCCCATCCTTGGACAGGAAGGACGGCGCCCAAATATTCCCCCACCCCCGACTCTGATAATCAAATGCATCTCGCGGGCGAAGCATGGCGTGTCCGTCGACGATTGCGCCCCGCGCCTCGGGCTTGGGGCCCTTCAGTTTCTCATGGGGCATGCCCGGTGCCGGCGCTGTCTCCGCCTATTCTCGCAATCCGCCCGTGGCTTGCGCGATGGCGCGCCTCTGGCCCGGACTGGTCGACTTCTCGGCTGACCGAGCGCTTTCGCCCGAAGCGGCGAGGTGGCTGTCGCGCAAGTGCCCCAGCAAACGCGCCCAGTATTCCCAGTGAAAACTGTCAGTCGGCCGAACTATCCGACGTGCCCTTTCTGGGATATCGCCCAACAAACGCCGACCAGCAGCATGTGGTATATAAAAATTGCTTGCCACCTCCAGCTCTCCGAAAGCGTCTAGTGACGCTGCATGCTATAATACTGGCCCGAGTCCACCAGCTGCAAACTCTGTCTCGAAGTGGCGCGAAACGAGATGGCGCGGCCCGTCGCGCGCTGGCCACTTGAAACTGAGGGGCCTCTCCGCGCGACACCCCAGATAACACCTGGTTATGATGGGCGCGCGCGGTGGCCTCTCGACCGCGCGGATCCAGCCAGCGCGCAAGGCGCTCGACGCAGCCGACGCGTTTGAGCCGAGGCGGCAGGCTACGGCGCAGGCACTCGCGGGAGCAGGAGGGCAGGAGGGGACAGGGGTGAACCCAGCGCTCGACCATTGTTCCATGCGCGCGCTGCTGTGGATGCGCAATTCGGGCCGCCACTCTTGCGTCTCTGACGGCTGGGGCGGCCCCTCCGAGGGCGGCCCCTGGGCGGCTGGGGCCGGGGGAACTATCGTCTCGCGCGGAACCGAA